CGGTTAGCATTCTTGTGACCTTTCGTTTATTTGCATCAGAATATTCTTGATCCACAAAATTACTTAGTTGTTTGGCTAGATTTTCAATGTCAGAAAATGTATCTCTCAAATCTGCCCCAAAATCCACTAATGAAAGTAGCATGTTATTTGCAGAAATTAAATCTGTATCAACTTTTTGAAGGTATTGACTAGTCGCGTTAAAGCGGCTTAAAACATTATTCCATAGAATCGCCATAAAAACATTTTCAAGGTTTTTTTATATGTTTCAAAAAAGCTTCAGCTTCTTACCGAGTTTCGCGGTTTTGTTCTTCGTCATTGGCTAAAATTTCTAGAGCCCTACAAATACCTCCATGACTCTTTACTACAACTTTTGTGGCGTCTCCGCGACATGACCATCTCGTTTTCGATAAGCTCGTTATTTTAGAATTCTCAGTGATTAAAATGTCCCACCGATGTGTTGATGCACACTAAAAAATGCATATGGCTGCTGTAAAATTCCGAAGAAATTTGTAGCATCAAGACATACGTCGGCACTACATTCTCCCACTAAGCTTAAAGAATGGCCAGCGCAAGGCACGTAAAACGCTAATTCATTTTTTTCTCTAATACAAGCTTGAAGTCCAATATATTTACCGGACATATTGGAAGCGTTATCATAGGTCTGAGCTCTGCAATTTTTAATGTCGATATCGTGCTCCTGTAGTAAATCTAATACCTCATTACTAAGCGACCTACCTTTATGACTTTTTATTTGTAAAAACCAGAAAAAACGTTCATAAACGTGACCATCTAAGTAGTATCGGAAAATGACTGACAATGACAAGAGGATATACCTGGGGTAGAATCTCGACGAGTCCCCAATATTTTGCACTGTGTATTTCATCAATAATACGTTTTAATACTTTCGCAGCCATTAACTCTATAAATTCTTCGTTTATAGTTTTAGATAAATAAGAGACTGTACCACTGCCTTTGTGAGCACTTTTTTGCCACTAATTGGCACTGATTTTATTCCATACAAATTGTAGTTAACTTTCTCGGTATCGAGTGCGTAAAAACAACATCTTGCACTAGGCACACAGAGATATCTCTCTGTCATTACACTATCTAGCCCTTTATTGTCCCTCTCTCGTTTACTGGCGATCTGGTGAGGTCCTCGTACTCTTTACAACATTGATACGATATTTTTATAGTTTTCTTTTTAACCGCATTTTTATAGTTATTTATATGTAAGTATCAACAGATTTAATTTTTATCTTTTTTTGTTTTCTTTAGAATTGTTATTAAATAATCTTTCATATAAATTTATTTAAATTATATAAGTAAAAAAGAAAATCACAACATTTGGCATGAATGAATAACTCAAATTATTACGCGATAAACATTAACATTCTCTGGTAGAAATTTCCCCCAACCGTTCGCCACCGTGACCAACTGCTGCAGCGTTAGCCGCAGTTTTTCCCAACCCATTCGCTAATAATACCACTTATTTCGTTATTTCAATTATAGCAAATTAAAAATCGTAGGTAATTTTGGTTAACTTATTTTCTTTGGAAATCATTTTACTTTTATTCAAAATTCTTTGAAACAGGTTTAAAAAAATTATTTTTATTCGAGACCGCGGGGCGCGGACCCCTCCCAAGGTGGGGCACGGGGCTATAGCCCCCCCTAGCCCCTCCTTTAATCCACCACTGTCCCCCATAGATTGCCTCACAGTGGGGATTTCGACATAGTTGACACGCCTGGCGAGCAGGTTGTCAACCGCAGTTTTTTATTATTTTCATTTGTTAAGGAAGACGCTGCTGTCCATCTCCTGATTTGTTTTCCTCTGTCACCTCTTACGACACCCACGGGATGATATGGGGTGGTGGATATTCTTACACCGCCAATATACGGTCATTGTAATGGTATATCTCAATGCGCGTTTACTTAGTTTCTATGTTATGTTTATGTACCTATATTACGTACCAACCCTAGCAATGTTCCGGGCAAACAACGCGCTATCAATAAATATTATTCTTTTAAAAGCATAGACTTAGGATATACTGGCAGTATATCCTAAGTCTATGTTTAAAAGTACTATATTTAAATTAATTATATTAATATACAACTTTTTATACTACACAAGCACACAAGCGAAGTAAACAGTCAACAGTCATATTATAGTCAACAACAAAGAAATATAACTCGGTGTCAATATATATACTATATTTACGCCCACAACCACACCCCATCCACACAAACTCACACACACACGCACGCACACGTACGCACGCACTCACGCAGTAACGCACGCACGCACGATTGCACGCACGCACGCATGCAAGCACGCACGCACAATCACACGCACGCACGAACATATGCACGCAAACACGCACGCACCCACAAACGAACGCACGCACGCACCCACGCACGTACGCACGCATGCATTCGCAAGCACGTTCGCACGCAGACACGCATTACCGCACTCACGCACAAACGCACGCATCACGAACGCATGTAGTCACGCAAGTACGCACACGCATACGGACACGCACATTCACACACACGTGCGCACATACACACACACACACACACACACACACACACACACACACACACACACACACACACACACACACACACACACAGAGAGAGAACATTACATATTATCTTGTTTTCCTTAAATATGGTAAGATTTTATTTTGTTTTTACTTTACCCTTTCATGAGCTTAACTGATAATATTGTGTAATTTTTGTATATTGTGTTGTGACACTGGAAGAGTACTGACATTTACAGCTCAGTTTTTCCTATAGTAAGCGTCAGCTAAAATACTGCTGTGTAGAATAAGTAAACATTTTGTATTTATTGTTTATGGTGTGCAAATAAATGTATAATATTATATTATTATTAAATGTGACCTTAAAATGAAGTTATACGGTTCATAACATTATAGCAATATTTGCAAGAGATGAAACTTGTTTTTATCGAGGCTTGCGGTTATAGGTAAGGACGATAAAGGATGTTCAAAAATTAACTATGAAAAAAACAAATCGGTGTATTTGTTTTCGGCCTGTCATTTACTGTTGAGCGTGGTTTTTTTTTTATAAAAGTGAAATGACAAAGGAACCTAACAGTCCACCTAATGACTATGGTGTAAGTGGTGGTAAGTGGCTACTGCAGCCCAAGAACACATGCAATTTGTTTTAAACAAAGAAGGCTACAGTTGCGTTGTCACCTCTGACGACTATGATGGAATGCCTTACGGCTTGTGAATGTACTTACTGGCTTCCTAACCTTCAAACTGGCTACAGTCAAGCACTGCTATTTGGCAGTAGAAATAGGTAAGAGAGTGACACCTATCCATGTGTATTCCTATAAAAAGAGTTCCACCACCTATTAGTCTTTCTCGTAATAGGCAAATTTGTAAACTTCAAACCTTAAATATTTTACTGTGAATGGAAATGCATTCGCATTTTGATTCTTAATTGAGTACAGATTTAGGTCTGTATGGGCGAAAGCGACCGCTCACTACGTTTTTTGGAACGAAGTTCTTTATCGGACGGTACGGAGTTGGCGGATGACCCCTTCTGACGTAGTGTAGACGGCCTTTATCGGCTATAAGGAAGCGAGATGGAATAATATCGATTTCCCTCGCACTTTATCTTATCTTGCCATGAAAGAAATATTATTTCATTTTCAATGACGCTTCATTTTAATAGATGATAGTGATTCATTTATTTGTATTTGTTAATCAATAATATAATACGTTTATCAATAATAATATACCACGAAAGGAACTTTGTCCCGACCGAGTGTTCCACGACACTCATTTTAATTTTTTTTATAGAAAGGGGAGGAAATGAACACGCGGCTCACCTCATAGATTGACATTTAGTCACCACTACCCATGCCCAATCGTATTAACGGTGGAATCGCATGTATGTTTCAGCCATTTTAAAAAGGATTAAGAGAGTTTTGTTGGGGTGTGCGATAGAAGAATTTGGCGGCTGGAATTAATTCGAACAATTCCTCTGAGCACTCCCCGTGGTAAATGCCTTAGAAAATGCAAAAGGTCGTCAAAGATTCGGCCTGCTCTTTGCATCGCATCCATCAAATGGAGGAGCTGGCACTGGAGTGCCCCGGCCCAGAAGTGATTATTACTTCATGTGAGGCCGAACTGGCGCCTTGTAAAGTTGCGAGCGGTGTGTATAAAATACTGTCTCGCTGTCTGTTTACTGAGCACGCCAAACTTTTAACAGGCTAATTTAGCCCTCCGTTCTTAAATTTTATTTTAAAAACTTCCTACGAACCAACAAAAGTTTAAAACCAAAGAGTATGCTTGCTTATCTCAACTCTAAGCTTACCAGTGTTTTTTTCGTCGTTGATTAAAATGAGGGCATCCACGACTTTTTCCGCCACCAGGGCGGCGCCACTAGAAAGTGAGGTATACTATTTGACAGATTTCATAGCGGGCAAGTTAATTTGTTCGGCAAATGTAAAAGTTATTGTTTCTTTTCGTACTATTAGCTATATTTTATATTAATAACATTAAAAATAAATAAACCGAACCACGGATATAAAAGTAAACAAATTAAAAAAAAAGTTAAGAATGCGCAAACATTAAAGAGCAAACCACTGATGCATTGTTTTGTGTATTAATATAATACTCTAGAAAATGATAAACTTTTATTAAAAACAACTTCTCAAATAAATTACATTGTGTAACAAAAAAAACTTTACCTCAGTATCAACTGGTGAGTATAAAATTATTAGCTCTCATTAAGACAGGATACAACATCAGCCTGTATATTGTTATTATTAATAATCATTACAAAATATGTGTAGTTTGTTGAAAGGCGTTGCTTTTAGCAGCCGTGTGATAAACATTAATTCAATCAAAGTACATAATTGAAATGAAGAATTTATTTTAATTTAATTTTAATCAAAATAATTAAAGTGAATAAATATTAGAGATTTAAATAAAATACAGATTATAAAACACATTTTATTTTTTATTATGTTAAAGGTTGTGCATGTGTTTTTATGCTTAAATTTAAGTGGAACCTTAATTTCAGGACAAGAAGAAATAGGTAAACGTCTTTGTTATACTTTTAGGTTAGGATTGTAAATGAAACAATCATAGTTTTTTTTTTAATTTCGTATGCGAAGTACGTAAGCTTAGTGAAAACAATACCAATAAATATTTTTTTATTGAAAATACTTCGATACTAAAAATTTGAGGATCGCTTTTTTAAAAAAAATATTTTGCCTTCTGCATTTATCAAGGTGAGCGAGTTTTTATACACTATGGAACACATCTGCAAACGAATATTCTTTTTGCTTTGTGTTACATTTAAATAATTCTAGACATATAGTGGATTTTGGCGGGTACTTGACCGCCGGCGGATTCCTGGTCTTGTGTCAATATATTAAATTGTCTATTAAACTGTTGCGCATCATCACAGAAAATTGTGAAGAATCTTTTAAACAAGTTATTTCAATAATATAAAAAAAAAAACTAAAACTAGAAACTTAATTATCATACAGTCCTATTTCTCGCGGTATCGTGCCAAGAACGCTGGCCGCGTTTCCCCGCTGAATGGCTATACTTAGCCTTTGAGCGAGAAAAGAACCAGCCCTTTTATCACCAGCAGCAATTTTTTTCAATAAGGTTATTATTATTTCATAATACTTGACAATTCCTGTGGGACCGCTTCTGGAAGAAAGAGTTCATCATAAAGAGTCCCTATTTCTCCATGAAGTCGGCCAGCTGCTGGCCCCTTAGGTTCCGTTGCCATATTTTAAATTTCCCTACCCTCAGCTCGCCGTTCTCTCTTGTGCCTAGTTTTGCGTTGAAGTCTACCATTAACAACGTATAGTGGGTTTTGGAGGAATGCATGGCTTTAGAGATAACCTCATACTTTTCCTCCACCTCCTCATCGGGGTGTGCCGAGGTTGGTGCGTAAACCTGTATGATCTTCAACGAATATAGTTTGGTGATTCTGAGTATAAGGTACGCAACCCTCGTCGATACACTCACAACCATTACTACGTGGTTAACGAGAGACTTGTGGACGATGAATCAGACACCTCCTTGAGACAGATGATCGCCCTCCCGGTGACAAAACAAGTTGCCGGATTCGAGGATTACCTTGTCCTCCCCCTCTCTTCGGACCTCAGATAATTCTATAATATCCATCCCAGTGCAACTTGTCTATTTCTTCTTCCAGTTCTAGGATCTTCTCGTCAGTCCTCAGGGCGCGTCTGTTGTATGTTGCCAGGTCGATTCTTAGCACCCACGTAGTCAGGAATAGCGGGGCCGCCGAGGACTGCCATAGTTGTCACGTTTGGCGAGCGGCTTTGGAACCGTAGTTTTTTATTGTAAATTGCTGTTATCAGAAAGATGCTGCTGCCCATCTTCTGTCTCAGTTTCCCTCTGTCGCCTCTTACGACATCCCCGGGAATACATGGGGTAGTAGGTATTCTTGCCCGCCACTACACGGGATAGGTCTTAAGATGAACATGGATAAAACAAAGATCATGTATAACGTTCATGTCACACTTATGCCGGTAGTTGTTGGGAGCACTAAGCACGAAGTTGTTGACGAGTATGTTTACCTGGGACAAATAGTCCGACTAGGTAAGTCCAACTTCGATCGAGAGGTCGATCGACAGATTCAACTCGGCTGGGCAGCGTTCGGGAAATTATGGCACATCTTTTCGTCAAGTATACCTCAAAACTTGAAAACAAGACTGTATAACCAGTGCGTGTTGCCAGTTTAACTTATGGAATTAAGACGTGGTCCTTCACTGCTGGCCGTATGAGGAAGCTATGGAAGGCTATGCTCAGGGTTTCTCTGGGTGATAGACTTAGAAATGCGGATATCAGGAGCCGTTAGCGGGGTTAGTCGTTGAACTTGTAAAAAAACGTTCGCCATTTTGAATTGTAATTGTTTCAATTATAGGTGAGCCATGCGAAGTCGAGGAGGCTGATAACATTCCTGGCACCTGCAAATATACGTGCGAGTATGTAGACCGATTGATTAACGAAGAGAAGAGGAAACCTACTGTAAGTTAATTCACTCGTAATGGTAAAGAGTCGTTTTATTAGGTTTTTTTTTTTATAGGACAACGTGACAAACGAGCACACAGTCCACCTGATGGTAAGTGGTTGCTGTGACCCATAGACATCTACATCTATCCTCGTTTGCGAATCAAAATGCAGATGCTTTGTCACCCGTGAGGACTAAGATGTTATTGTATATGTATTTCCAGTAAAAAAGGCCTCCGGTTCTCTACACTCACCATACGAAACACAGCAGTGTTAAGTGAGCCGACCCATTCGTGTTGCAACTATACTGCTAATGTAGTTGCAGCATGGCTCTACCACGTATGAAAAGTGCCGGCTAGGATTTGCAAAACCGGACCCGGTTCGGGTTATTCAGTATATTCCACCCTCGAGTGGATAATCGGGAACGCGTGTTCGTTTATCCACCCCGGACGGGAGTGGATAATCAGAATTCGTATATTATTTTTCTTTCGATTTTCTCCCTCGGCTGTGTACAGTCGTTTATAAAACATGATAGAAATTGGCCCAAGATTACTTAGTAGACATTTGAGTACTTATAAAAATCTATACTCACTTCTTGTCAGGTCAAAATTGAAATACTTTTAATTGTTCAATTACTTATCATTCGATGTGACCTAATTTGCGTCATTGAATAATGATTATAATAATATTATGATGGCTTTTGTAAATTACTATGAAAAGAAAGCTGAAGGATCACTAATAAAAATCTAGATACACAATCCCATGCAAATGTTCTCTAAAAACTGTCGCCAATTGTTTTGACGTAATTCTAGTTGAAATAAATATACATTAATGTAAATTCAACCTTAAATGCATGGCGTAAAGTTGTATTCACAAAGCTACGTACAAATTAAAACCGCACCTAAATGTTCGAGTTTTAAATTTGTGATCGATATTATGCGCCTGTTTCGAATTCATTCGGTTTTTGAATTTATTGCAAAAGAAAGCCCGGTTGTTTTTGCAAACACATCTATTGTAACAAAGAAATTTAGAAAACGTTTGCGAATGTACATTAAAAGAGACGAATTTATACAGGATATATACAATTACGGCTTCTCAATAAAGGAAATTAGCGTTGGTCATTTTCTGAACATATTGCAGAGTTTATAAATTATTTTAATTTTTATTTCAAACGAGGAAGTTTAATTTGGTTGCATTTAAACCACACTTACGTAATATGATTTTTGTTTAAGTTTGTGTTTATTAAAATTAATCAATACGTATGAATATTTTATGTTGAACTGTACAAGGGGAGGAGGGGGGGGCAACCAATCAAAAATTGTATTTTATGAACGGTTCTAAAAGAGGTTCGGAAGCGAGATTACACAACCGGTTCTTCCCGGTTCTTAGTGTATTTTTGTTATAGTTGTTTTTCTAATTTAATCAAACGTTATTATTGGCAAACTGTTTGCCAGTATGTTAGCGAGTATCTACAACTTAATCATATTTTTTTTTAATAAAACAGTCCATTCTATCTAGGTAGGAATATTAAAAAAAATATGAGTTAGTTCCCATATATAAAATAAGTTAATATACGCGATGAAATACGTAAAAACTAGTTTTATTTAAACGTGTAGTGTTAGCATAAATATAAGAAATCATTAAGGAAATAACTCTTATTACCTAAGTAACTAACTATAATAAATCTATATAAATAAAATCATGGAGGTTTGCAGTTGTGCGCGCATCACAGAAAAACTACTGGATAGATTTCAATCAGGTTTTCTAAGTTTTATTACTTAGACACTTGGCACTTATTTAAAAAAATATTCCGATATCTTCATTTAATATAAAGTTATTAAGGTTTTAAGAAACCACGATTTTTATACGGGGGTTTTTCACACGGTCTGTACGTCACTTGCGTTACTAACCCAGTTATTATATATATTTTAGCTACAAACGGAGCAACGATTAACATTGTTTACAAAGAAATTTTATCTTTTTGATGTATTTTTCCTTCGCACATACAACAACTTTGTTAATATACAGAGGGTGACACTGAAAGTTCTTAGAAAATCAAAAACTGAACAAACTAGCAAGTTATTACTTTTATTATATATTTCCAAAATAGTGTCCATTTACATCAATACATCGCTGCATCCGATGGAACCATTGAGAAAAACACTTTGCCCACTCGTCCTTAGGGGTCTCTTCGACTTCATTTTGAAACGCCGCCACTGCTTCCTCGGCGTCCATAAAACGTTGCTCTGGGAGTTTTTCATTTATTTTCGGAAATAAATAAAAATCCCAAGGTCGGGGCTATAGGGCGGGTGACCCAGTAATTCCACGTCTGACGTCGCCAAGCAGTCGATTGTTTGTTTGGCGATGTGCGACGAGGCATTGTCTTAGTGAAGGTGAAGGAGGATCCTACTGCGAGGTCGTTTCTCCCAAACTTTTTCCAAGACAAGTGGCAAGCAATTGTTAGTCTACCACTTTGCAGTAATTGTTTTCCGATCATCTAAAACAATTATTGCGTAATGATCTGTCCTTCCGAAGAATGAGGCCACCATCTTTCTTCCCACGCTTCGATCTCTCTTCACTTTAGTTGGCAAGTCCTCGGAAGGAAACACTCAGACAGCAGACTGTCTCTTAATTTCAGGATCATAACAATAAATCCAGCTTTCGTCACCCATAAGTATGTCGAACACAGTATTTGAGTCACCTCGGTTAAATCTTTGAACAATTTCACGACACCAATCAACACGACGGAGTTTTTGGGCCTCTGTCAAATTATGAGGTATCCACCAGGCACAAAGCTTCCCAACCGCTAAATTTTCATGGAGGATTTTGTGCACTTGACTCATACCGATGCCTAAGCTTGTAGGAATCTGCTGATAAGTCACTATTTTATCAATCTCTATCATACGCCGCACAACACTGATGCTATCTTCAGTCGTCGCCGTAGAATGCCGTTCCTCACGCAGATCACTGGTGAGATTAGTGCGACCACGTTAAAATTCATTAAGCCAGTTGTAAACAGTGACACGAGATGGGGCTTCCGCGTAAGTGACTACATGACTACATGACTGTGGTACCCATCGGTGACAGATCTCAGCCTTGGTTTGGTCACTCCTGTAAGACTGCATTACGCAGTAAGCAGGAGTGTTATCAGGCCTGGGCTGAGGCTTCAGAGGTTCGGGATGTAAAAACCAGCATGCTTAAAAAGAAGTATAACTTCGCCTCCAGGTACTTCAAAAGAGTTATTCTCAAGGCAAAGTCAGAGTATGTAGGCGGAATTGGCGAGAAACTAGTTTGCTTTCCTTCGGGAGCCCGTGCATTCTGGTCTCTCGCCAAGGCTGTCCACGGGAATTTCTGTAAGCCATCACTACCATCTCTGCACAGGGAGGACGACTCACTGGCCCATGCCGCAAAGGACAAAGCCGATCTGATGGGCTCTCTCTTTGCGTCCAACTCGAATCTTGATGGCGGGGGGAACACACCGCCGACCATCCCACGGTGTGAGTCCTCTATGAAGGATGTGTTGTTTACCTTACGCTCGGTGTGCAGAGCACCCCTCTCCGTGGATGTCAATAAGTCGAGTGGGCCTGATGGCGTCCCTCCTATTGTGCTGAAGACGTGTGCTCCAGGGTTGGCACCGGTTTCAACGCGTATTTACCGGTACTCCTACTCCCTAGACATAGTCTCGAAATCATGGAAGACAGCTTTTGTGCACCCGATCAAAGGTAACCGCTCTGATCCGTCCAACTATAGGCCTATCGCCATTAACTTGTTCTCTAAAATAATGGAGTCTATTATTAACAGCTAGCTCTTGCGGTACCTTAAGGATCACCAGCCGTCAGTACTGTTTCCCTTGCGGTCGCTTGGCTGGTGATCTTCTAGGTTACCTAACTCATAAATGGGTGGAGGCAGTAGAGTCCAAGAGGAAGGCGATGGCCGTTAGTTTGGATATAGCGAAGGCCTTCGATCGTGTTTGGCACAAAGCGCTTCTTACGAATCTTCCTTTCTATGGGCTTCCCGAGAAATTGTGCAATTGGATCACCAGTTTTCTTGCAGATCGGAGCATCAAGGTCATTGTAGACGGTGCATGCTCCACGTACAAGCCCATTAACGCTGGTATTCCACAAGGCTGCATGCTATCGCCAACGCTGTTTCTTATACATATTAATGACGCATTGCAAACCGGTAACATTCATTGCGATGACAGTACTGGTGATGCCATATACACAGGCCATGCCAATATTTCTTGGGAAAATGTCGCCGAATACCGGGACAAACTTGTGTCTGAAGTCGAGACTGTTGAACAAGTCTCGTGATGGGGGCGCTAAATCTAGTCCAGTTCAATCCCCAGAAGACACAAGTTTGCGCGTTTACCGCTAAAAAGAACCCCTTCGTCGTATCTCCTCAGTTTCAAGTCACTCCCCTTGTTGCCTCAGCCAGTATCGGAATCCTCGGCGTCGACATATCAAGTGACGTGCAGTTTCGTGGTCACTTAGAAAAGAAGGCCAAATTGGCCTCTAAAAAGCTTGGCGTGCTCAGCAGAGCGGGACAGTATTTCATGCCAGCACATCGCCTGCACCTTTACAAGGCACATGGAATACTGTTCCAATCTCTGGGCTGGGGTTCCCCGGTGCTAGTTCCTTCTATTTGATCGCATCCAGCGCTGTCGGAATCGTCGACGATCGAACTCTTTCCGATCGGCTTGACTCACTGGCACTGCGAAGGGATGTTGCATCTCTTTGTGTATTTTATTGCATTTACCACGGGGAGAGCTCTGAGGAATTGTTCGGACTAATTCCAGCTGCACAATTTCACCATCGCACATCGCGACTAAACTCGCGATACCATCCATACCATCTTGATGACTGGCGGTCTACCACTGTGCGATTTAAAAGAAGTGTTCTTCCTCGCACAACTTCCTGGTTGAATCGACCACCACCAGAGATTTTTTCCGGACCGATACGACGTAGGCACCTTCAAGAAAAGAGCGTACTCCTTTTTAAAAGGCCGGCAACGCATCTGCAATTCCCCTGGTGTTGCAGTTGTTCATGGGCGGCGTTCAACTTACCAACAGGTGAGTCGTATGCTCGTTTGCCCCCTCTCCTATAAAAAAGGTACGTGAGGGTAATATGGTGGTCACCTTAAACTTTGCCGCCCTTTATAACAAAAACAATGAGGAGGACAGACATAAATACACAATGTCGTATACTATAACTAATATATTAAGGAAACTAAAATATATATAACGAGTTGAATGTAAATTCAAGAAAAACAACTTCCTTCTTCGTGAATCCCATATCTCTGGTGCCCTTTGACCTACAGGACCCAAATTCAAACTCGACCGAGCTACTACCTCAAGGTATCCACATACCAAATTTAAAGTCAATCGGTCCAGTGGAACGGAAGTTATCGTGTCGGCATACAGACTAACAGACTGCCATCTAAAACCATTAACTTCCTTTCAATGTTACGCAGAAGGTAGTTAATATATATATTTTATAATTAATTTATCAAAAGGAAAGGAATGTTATGTTATTCTTGTAACTACAAGTATTGTATGTTAATTAAGGAAGAACGAGTTTTCCTGTCACAAGTATTGAAAAATACTCAAAAGGAGAACTATGTGTACTGCTAATGATGTAAATTTATTGTTACAGAATAAACATTTTTGATTTTTTTTTATGAAACAATTGCAAACAAGCCTTTGTAATAATTAGGAACACTTCAATAATTCAACTTAAAAAAAATACTAACTACACTAGCCAATACAGCATGCATGTAGGTTGTCACATAGACGACGTGTGTCTTAATAACCTTAGCTATGCTGACGTCATGGTGCATCTGAACCCCACGATCGGAGGCTTAAGAAAATTACTAGGCGTATGTGAGCGATATGCTATTGAACATGGCTTGAGGTATAATATAGAAAAAAAATTAGTGTGTCTATGATTATTAAAGGTAGAAATAAAACTGGAGATAATATGCCCATTATTAACTCTAAACAGAATACCCGTAGGTAGTATAAAACTGTTTAAATATCTTGGCCACATAATCTATGAGAATGAGGGCTAATAATTTTCTGCTCACCAGATGTCGCTAGTTGACACTGAGGTAAAGTTTTTTTGTTACACAATGTAATTTAATTGAGAAATTAGTTGTTAATAAAAGTTTATCAGTTTCTAAAGTATTATATTAATACACATAACAATGCGTCTGTGGTTTGCTCTATAATTTTTTGCACTCTTTTAACTTTTTTTTTTAATTTTTTACTTTAAAGTCTCTTCCCACTACACCGTATCATACCATGACCGTGCTAGGAACGTGTCAGGCAAATAAATATTATTTGTATTGAAAAGTATGACACTGTTCCTACTAGACCGTTCCGTCACCGACCAACACCATCGCGTGCCATGCACGGAGCGTCAACAAATGTCGGCGAGAATATTTTGCCGGTGCTGACACGCTCTGTGCATGACACGCGACGTTGCCAAACCGCTGCGTGCAGGCGGCAAGCCGGCGAGTATACGGGTTGTAAACGCGTATGATGACCGTTATATAGGCGTTGTGTTTTTTGTTTTCTTCTTCTTCCTCATCAAATATTAAAGCAATCATCGCCAGTTGTCTAACAGTTAATTTTCTGATAGTCATACCTATTTTACAATTTAAAAATTTGGTAGCACTCCAAGATATCCACGCAACACGCTTGCGAGAATGAAACGGATTCCTATAGGTTTTGGTGGATGTTGCATACGGGCATCATACGGGTTACATACGGGTTGCATACTGGCACCATACGGGATGTATACAGGCACAGAACGCCGTCGATCCGTTCAGTGGGCATAGTAGAGCGTATCGTGTTGCTTTTCGTGCCTGATACGCTCCTAGCACGGTCATGGTATGATACGGTGCAGTGGGCAGAGACCTTTATGAATATATGTGGTTTGGTTTATTTATTTTAGTTTAATTAAAATTTAGCTAATAGTACAAAAAGTAACAATAACTTTTACATTTTCTAAACAAATTAACTTCCTGTCTGAAATCTGTCAAATATTATACCTCACTTCCTAGTAGCGCCACCCTGGTGGCAAAAAAAGTCGTGGGTGCCCTCATAATATGTTGATTCATAGGTTTGCTCGTTGCACAGCACCAGTCAAAATTACTTTATTCAAAGCCTACTGTCCATCGTTTTAGACGAGCAGTCTTTGGACCCACTTGTTGCTTGGGGTTTGAGACAATTAAAAAACTGCCGAGTGAATTACCAAAATCGACACTTTAATTACACAACACTAATTTAAAAACAATTTAAAATCACACTATTAACAAAACACAATTTTACTACTGATCACTTTAGTTCGCAGATGTATCGCTTCGAAGTATTCGCTTGTATCGCCAATTCAACACTGACTCGGTCCCGGATTATACCGGCGTTATATAGGGCCTCAGGTAGTTTCCAGAACCTTCTACTATAGAAACTTCTAGAATGTTCGAGTACATATCGGTCCCGATTGACTAGGTGTCGAAAATCCTAGAAAGTTCTTCCATGGAAAGTTCTAGAATGTTCTCGACTCTCCTAGTTCTGCTACTCGATACTAGAGGGCGCTAGTGGTAATTAGTGTCGCCATGTACCATGTATTAATCGTGGAGCGCAACAATACAATGTCCTGCGAATTATATAATATGTTCAGGACCTTGTTGGGGCTCCCTCGCTATTGCAGTGCATCAAGTGTGATTGCTGATGTAAGAACGGATGATTTTTACGCAATCATGAGAAAAAAAAGTGGAGTCTCTTGCGAGGGAGCCCGAACAGAGTCCTATAGATGATTAGTGGCAGAGTGGGTTCTAACCTGTCTACATATTTATTTTTATGACATGAATCGAGTACATAATAAATTAGTATAGTAGCTGATTTGATGTCTACATACTAATTGAATTGAATTACAATTAACAATTATTCAGAAAAACGTGAATAATTATAGCCTTTGAATACAAAGTCCTTTCATACGTGAAATGAAACGTCATTAGGTGCGGTCCAGTGCGTTCAGAAACCATTTTTTAAATAATTTCGGAACAGTTTCAAAAACTATTGGTAAATCCAATTGTGCAGGCCCTAATCGCATTAAAAAAATTACGTATAACATGATTATACGGATTTTTTAAAGTAGTTTAAATACACACAAGTTTTCACTAATACCCTTATACTTCCAATTTTCCGATAATTTTATGTCAAACTTCAATTTGAAAAAGTTTGGAAAATCCAATAGTGCACGACTCATAATGCTCATATGATCATAATATCATCAGTCATGTCACTCCATAAAGTCCAAGACGTAAAGTATAAATATTACATCCTATTTACTTTTAGTACATACTACTATTATTTATTCTGTGCTTTTAAAATACTGTAATAAAAATCTCTGGTTATTATAATAATTAAGTAATATAAAATAGTAAGAAATTTGTTTTTCGAATATTTCGTATTTATTACAAACAACCAAACAGAAGAAAAAAAAGCAAACAAAGAAATTATCTGCGATGTGCTCTTACTGTCTCGCTCTTAATTGATTTTTCTTTTCAGTATTGCTACTTGGACAATACCATCCGTATTTACTGCTGTCCCAATGAGCCTCATCACACGGGAGTTCTTGCTAGAGCTTTCATTGATTCACAGAAGGGCAAAATCACGTCGAAGGACATTGTAAGTGAGGTTTATTGATGTTTTTTTTTTAATGGAATAAGAATGACGAACGAGCATACAGCCACCTGATGGTAAGTGGATGCTCCGTCCCATAACAAACACATACTAAAATGCTCGATGAACGAGTCAGTAACTCATTCTTGAGACGATGTATACGCTTTTACAACAAAATCCCAGAAAGTATACAAAATATTGACCTTCTCAAAATTCAAAAACTTTATTAAATAAAGTTTGTATAAAAAGGGTTATTATAATATTTAGAATTTATGGATAATAACCCCTGGGAATGAGGGGATAGCTACCAAGCTACTAATTATTTCTCGTGTTGTTAATTGTATAACGTATAGGATAGCTGTAATTTTTAAAAGAATATGTCCCGCCGGGTTACTTGCCGGTTCTTTCCAGGACAAAGGTAAATTAAACAAAAGAGTGACTTTCAATAAGTATTATTTATAATCTATATTGAAAATAAAAAAAAATCTGTTTCTCTTTTATAGACATCTACATATATGTATATTAATAATCAAAATGCAGATGCGATGTCACCCGTGAGAAGCCCATAAAATGTTCACAAAAGTTCAAAAAATGTATTTGTTGCAGGAATGCCGATATGACGGTAACTTTCCTATGATATGCTGCAAGCGCGAACCTATAAATAACCCCATCAGGGTCGAGGGGCGTTTCTCAGCCAACTGTCCAGACAAGAGCACGCAAGCAGCGTGCGCAGGTGAGGAAATGTTACTTCTGTATTATATCTATACGTGGTAGAGCCACGCTGCAGCTATATTACGATTGCAGCACGAATGGGTCAGCTCGACGTCAGCAGCGGGGCAGGACCACGCTCTCACAGAATACCGGCGTGAATTAGGAGCCTAATGCTGCTGTGTTTCGTATGGTGAGTGTAGAGAACCGTTCCACCTTAGTCCTCAGGGGTGACAATGCATCTGCATTTTGATTCTTGATCGAGGATAAATGAAGATGTCTATGGGCCACAGCATCAGCTTACCATTAGGTGGACTATGTGGACTTTGTTCAATATTAAAAAACTTCGCAAAAATCCGCTCTATAAAATAAAATGATGTGTCTTACCTAGTATGAAGAGCACCTTCCGCCCTCCCTCAATTGCGTGCACTATCCCCGTCATCACTTATCCCGGCACCATTCTTTTATAGATTTTCGGCACACATCATTTTATTTTATAGAGCGGATTATTGCGAAGTAAATTTTTTAAAAGCTTTAATATAACGGATTTCCGCAAAGTAACGCATGATTCTATTAATGGTCTTCTTTACATTGACACATGTAATTAAATTAATTACTGTAAATGCCACCATCTTAGTGCTTTTGCGCTAAATCTAGCGCCTTTTGGTAAGTGTAGTAAATAACTAAGCGCGTCTGAAAAGTTTAGCGACTAGTGCATAATCTAAACCTTTTTTTTAATTTCTGACATGGCAGCACCGGTCGGTTCTGACCATGGCGTAACTCACACAAGCACTTTGAGTCCAAGTTGTATCTAGTAAGCGTGCAACATGACCCGCTCATTTCCATTTCAAGCGCTAGGTATGTTCAATGGTAGCCAAGGTTTTATATGATTTGGTTAACTTAGTTTTTTTTTTGTTTAACTATTAAATTAGTTCTTATAGATGGCGCTAGTGTTTCTAATTACGAAAATAGGGTCAGGCAAATGTACGAACGACCGGGTAAAAACCATGCTCTCAAAAACTACCAGTGTAATCTGCTGCAAGATGTTGTTAAGATTCGTATCAAAGTCAAAATCTAACATAATTATTGAAAATGTGCACTTTACAATTACAAAGCACTTTTTGAAAGTCATGCTACACCGAAGTATACAGTTTCTTTAGAATAGTTGTGATTTGAAACTCGAAAATACGAAAAAGCGACACGAAAAAGACATAAACATATACATCTATAGGATTTAGCCTGCGAGAGCATGATATACATATGTGAACGTCCTCCAGATGGCATTCGGTTACGGCGGCCAGTTTCACAGGAGACTAGCCATCGCCGCAGGACAGAGTTAAAGTGCACAAGTGTGTACGCAAGCACAGGTGCACTCCTTAATCCCCCAGTCTTAGGTCCGTATTAATAAACGTTACTCAACGGCGAACTGAAGTGCTTAATCATTTGATACGCCCTCATTACGGTATCAGCATCTCAAGATCGTTGCTAATTAATAAACACATAAAAACAGTATCTCAAAACGCTGTACTTAGGAATACTGTTCTGTGACGTGCACTCAAGTACACACACTTGATAGTCGAGTTTCGTTTATTAATCAGTGTGGCACTCAGCTGATATCGTAAACCTAAGCCGCATCTTGAGAAATGTTTATCAATAAGATCATAATCTCAATATTGTACTCAAGTGCGTGTACTTGAGATGAGTGACGTTTATTAATACGGGCCTTATAGTCCATTGGGACGACAATTCTACCCGATCGAAGCCGAGGCACGGGGTTGCAACATCGCCAAACTTCATAAGTTCGGGCTGTTTCAGTGAAGTTATGACAGAAAAAACCTAATAACTAATTTTGGCCCGGCCTGGAATTTTAACCTGGGACCACATGATTAGCGTCGCGGTTACGACCTCTAGATTAACGAAGCAGTCAGAGTAAGAGATATATTTACCGTTACAGCCTATTAGAGCCCACTGTTGAACATAGGTATCCCCCATAGATTGCCTCATAGGGGGGATATTTGCTATAGTTGTATTGTTACTGTTGATTTGAAAATTTCACCTCTCAGTGGGTCATGTGCTCCTGGTAGATTATCTTCTATACATCCATCCACTACAGCCTGTTAAAGTCCACTGTTGAACATAGGTATCCCCCATAGATTGCCACATAGGGGGGATATTTGCTATAGTTGTATTGTTAATGTTGATTTGAAAATTTCACCTCTCAGTGGGTCATGTGCTCCTGGTAGATTATCTTCTATACATCCGTCCATTACAGCCTGTTAAAGTCCACTGTTGAACATAGGTATCCCCCATAGATTGCCACATAGGGGGGATATTTGCTATAGTTGTATTGTTAATGTTGATTTGAAAATTTCACCTCTCAGTGGGTCATGTGCTCCTGGTAGATTATCTTCTATACATCCGTCCATTACAGCCTATTAAAGTCCACTGCTGAACATAGGCTTCCCCCATAGATTGCCTCATAGGGGGAATATTTGCCATAGTTATCACGCTTGGCAAGCGGGTTGGCAACCGAGGTTTTTCAGTTTTGGTCGTTATTAGGAAAACGCTGCTGCCCATCTCCTGATTTGTTTTCCTCTGTCGCCTCTTACGACACACACGGGACGATATGGGGTAGTGGATATATTTACACCGTCACTACACAGTACATAATATATAATAGATAAATTTTATTCTTATATATTTCAGCATGTTATGCGAATGCACAACCACCACCCGAGGAGTCAACGATTTGCCCCCAGCACACTGTCTTAAAAATAGCAGGAGGGGGACCCGCAGATATCACAGAGTTCCCACATATGGTATGATGTTCATAATTTTTTTTTGGTAACAGCAGAGTGTTAAACGAGCTATCTCATGGGTGAGCACCTCTTGCCCACTTTTCTTTTCTTTGGCTGTAGGCGTTCATGTGTCGTGTTGTGGAAATGAAAGAAAGACATAAAAACTTTGTTTGACATCACAAACAAATAGCATGAGAAATAAAAATAAATGTAGAGGATCTATCAACACATCTCGTCTCACGCGTGTCGTAATATTCCGATCCGCGGGATTTGAAGCTGGGATCTCATAACTAGCAAGCCGCGTTTTGCGACCACTACCCAGAGCATTTACGTAGTCAGTACATACTGCAGGTTTAAATCGATTTCGATCCTCGTTCATATGCTCGGCGGTGGAAGAATACATTGTGAGAAAGTTGCACGCATGACTAATCAAAAATGTCGCGGACATACTGGGGCAGTGTTAAAGCTTCCATCTGTGTTCATCTATGGTATATATATACAGCATGTAACAAAAACCCTGTGGCTTAGGGTTGCCACCTTTTTTTTTTGAACAAATATAGTATTTTTTATACGTTTTTTGCAATACAATTTTTTTTTATGTTAATCACTATTTTCTTATTTTAAACTTATTGAAAATTATTTTCTACTTTTTAGTTCGGCTATCTACAAAAGCGTGTTTTTTTAGTTTTTTAAACTATTATTTATTTATGTGTATTACCTCAGAACTCTTTTCTAGGTGCACGGATTTTGATGATTCTTTTTTATTTGAAAGCTGGTGCTTCTAATGTGGTCCCATATTTTGACCAGTAGTTTTTGAGTTACCCTTAATAATGCGTACGTAATTGACTTTGACTACATTGATGATGTTATCGTTTTATTTATATTAATGTCGGTTGTAAAAAAAATACCACTTGTTTGTTATTGAGTTTTCTATAAAGTAAAGCTATTTTAGTACTCAAACGTGTAGATAATGATTCTGATAACACATTTAACTGGGATCTTAGGGTTTTGGTGATGTGTTGTATTATTTTTATTTTTTGTTGCAGGCAATCCTGGGATGCAGGAATAGAAAAAAGACAAATCCAAACGATCAGGACATTGTTTGGATAGGCGCCGGTTCGCTGATAAGTCCAACCTTCGTTCTGACAGCAGCCCACGTCCTCTACGAGAACACTTAGTGAGTATTTTGAAAACGTCTTTAGTATCGTTGTGATTTGACACTCGATGAAACGAAAAAACCACACTAAAAAGAGACAAACATATACACACATCTACAGGATTTTAGCCTGCGAGAATGAGATAGAATACAGTGTTTATAATAAATTTATTTACACATATTTTGATATTTTGACTATCCTACAAGTCTTCTACTTCTGACACTCTGCATTCGTCTCATTCCTTCTAAGTTTAGTTGTCTGAAGATTTCACGTCTCAACGCGTATGAACTGCACATATGTATTCTTTTTGAATAAGAATGACAAACGAGCACACAGTTCACCTGATGGTAATTTGATGATGTGGTCCATAGACATTTAAATCTATCCTCGATTGAGAACCAAAATGCAGATGCGTTTGACCCTTGAGCTCTAAAACGGAACGCCTCGTTTCCAGTAAAAAGGTTCACCAGTCACACTCAGAGTACGAAACACAGCAGCATTAAGCTGTTATTTCACGCTGGTATCTCTGAGAGCGTGGTCCTTCGAGCCGACTCATTCGTGCTGCAACCATAATATTTCTGCAGCGTGGCTCTAGCACGTAAATAGTAGTAGATATATATTAATACCAGTTTCTCTACACACACCCACGAAACACAGCAGCATTAAGCTCCTATTTACGCTGGTATTATGTGATAGCCTGGTCCTTCGAGTCGATCCATTCGTGCTACAACTATAATATAGCTGCAGGGTGACTTTAGCACGTAAATAGTAGCAGATATATATATATATTGATATCAGGTTCTCTACACACACCCACGAAACACAGCAGCATTAAGCTCCTATTTACGCTGGTATTCTGTGATAGCCTGGTCCTTCGAGCCGACCCATTCGTGCTGCAACCATAATATATCTGCAGCGTGGCTCTAGCACGTAAATAGTAGCAGATATATATTAATATCCGGTTCTCTACACACACTCACGAAACACAGCAGTATTAAGCTCCAATTTACGCTGGTATTCTGTGAGAGCCTGGTCCTTCGAGCCGACCCATTCGTGCTGCAACCAAAATATAGCTGCAGTTTGGCTTTACCACGTGAAAACACGAACTAACTAAAAGAGTAACTCTTAAAGTAAGACATTAATGGCAGAATCGTCAGCCCTGTAGGTTACACTGCAGCATTACGTTGAGTGATAACCTTTTCACTGGCTCGATACACTCTTGTAATTTTAATCTACCATACTTTTAACTTTTTATTTTTTATTTTTGTGATGTGTACAGTTCCAGTGAATAAATGTCTTTCTTTATTTCTTTCTGTCTTTCTTTCTAACCTAAAAATACATCAGCATATAATCGATACTAACACATTTGCACAATATTAATAATGTCCCCCAGATCGAAATTCAGTCACGGCGGCCAACCTCAACGCAGACTAGCCATCTGCACAGCACAGGATTATAGTGCACGAGTGTGCGCAAGCACAAGTGCACTCTCTATTGCCTCACTCTCATAGTCCGATAGTACGGCAATCCGACACGACCGGAGAGAGATCAGGCGCAGAACCAACGGTTTTACGTGCTTTCCGAGGCACGGGGGTGAGACACCGCCAGCTTCCTGACTCCGGGCAGCTACTGAGAATTTCTTGATGGAAAAACTCAATAACTGATTTTTGGCACAAGTGAAAAATACATAGAAACCTAAATCGCGCTATCAAAGTTCCGAAGTAAAAGCGGTATATATAGAATAGCTTCGAACTTCCCGCGGGCAGAATACTTTGCATATAAATAAAGCAATGCCTCAGTAACATAGCAACACTGGCCACCGGTGAACCTTGGGGAGTAGCCACATAACGTTTCTCCCCGATACAGAAGTGTCTGTCATTTTTTGAGGGGGGAAATCTGGGCACACAAAAACAATCGTCTGCCACTACAGGGCGTTGTACTGTTGGTAAACAAATCCGAAACAACACGACCGTTATTATTGTAATTTTAAATTATGAAAAGTAGCAAATAACAATCATGTGATTGAAACTTTCTTAAGCTGCGTCTACACCAAAGTTTTGTTACCAACTGTTGTGTTGCCAACACGTGTTGGTAACAAATGTTTCCGTAATTACCTAGTGTTGCTAACAAAACTTGAAACAATGCCGGGAACCGTGTTTCCATTTTCGGCGGCAACATCAAGGGGATACGCTTGTTGCAAACATTTGTTCTCTCTGTGGAGACGCTTGTTGGAAACATTTGTCGGCAACATCGGAAACAAATGTTGGTAACTTTTGTTGAGTTGTAAGCAGTTGGAAACATACATTTTGTTAATATTTTTGGTGGATACGCGGCTTTATATATGAAAGGTCTTTTAGTAAATTTGATGTAACTGATCTCTTTTTGCAGCAAAAATCTGAACAATTCGGCATTTTTGTAGAACATCGATTCAGCCGCGTAACTAGATTTAGTCTAGTGAGCAGTGCGGCTACAACTACATAAATTTATTGTACGCATAGGACCGCGTAGACTTGTACTTTGACAGAGCGGAGCGCCTGCGTATGACTTCTCCTGCCAGTGACCCGTGATGCTCTTAGGCTTATCGATTTCGCGCGGCCCACCATCAAACATTAGGTCGCGCGTAGCGTTGCCATTGCCGGCTTTAGCCGGACATGTTTGGCTTTTTCGGGTTGTGTCCGGCCAAATTTTTATGTGTCCGGCCTGTCCGGCTTTTTGTTAGTGTAACGCATTGCACGCATTATCAACAGCGGTAGAGCCACGCGGCTTTTGCTGTCACACGAATGGGCCGGCTCGAACCGGGGTAGTACCACGACCTCACAGAAAACCATCGTGAAGTAGAGGTTTACCTCTGCGTTTCGCTTGGTGAGTGCAGGTGGCCGGAGGCCCTTTTTACTGGAAATGAGGCATTCCATCTTAGTCCTCACGGGTGACAACGTATCTACATTTTGATTTGTAACAGAGGATAGATGTAGATGTCTATGGGCCGCAGCAATCACTTACCATCAGGTGGACTGTGTGCTCGTTTGTCAACCTTATCCTATAAAAAAACGCAACTCTACACTTGAAACTGTGCTGTGATTGATTAATAAACAACGTATGTAACGGAGAATTTTTTTTTCTCGGGGGGTTGGAGTTGGTGAGTTTTTTGGCTGCATGGCCTCAGAAAGGTATGTTTGGCTAAAAATTACTGTCCGGCTTTTAGGGCCAAATGTCCGGCTTTTTGGCGCGCCGAGTCCGGCTTTTTCATTTTAGGAGATGGCAACTCTAGTCGCGCGGCAGCCGCGCACGGTGGATAGTGTGTTGCCGCGCGCGGCAATTCGAACATTGGCGTGCTCGAACGTGCCGCGCGACGAACCAATCCTTTGAATCTCGGCAAAGGAATCTTAGTGAGTTGTGCTCGCGCAGTTGTGACGGCTGTTTACGTATTTTAATTGGTACGCGCGGGAAAAACATGGATAACGACAAGCGTCTTACATTAATCAGGTTATACGGTACTAAACAATTTCTATGGAACAGTAAATGTAGTGATTATCACAACAAATCATTAAGAAAAGATGCTTGGAATGAAATCAGTGCAGAAATGGACTTGCCTGCCGTCCTGTTGCCGTGTACAAAATGAACGTTCGTTGGTGGATCGGCGCGGCTACCTCGCTATAGTTAAATTGTGCGCAAACATTGTCCGCGAGCCAAAACACAGGTTTGCCGCGGGCGAACAATGCTCGCGCGGCAACTGCCCGAAGTCGCTACGCATTTTAGACTCAGTGCTGTAGTTTCATTATTAAAAAATTTTCTACTTTTATAAATATCTGCCGTTTAGTTTACCCAATTCTAATCTAAATAATATAAAGTACAGGGTTATTTTGAATTAACCGGCCAAATTTAGATTTTACTGCGCACGCACATATTCGTAAGGGCCGATCAGTAGGCAAAAACGTTACCCATAAATCACATTCAATTTAGGATAATTACAAATCAAAGTAGAAGCTTTTTTTAATGGTATTTAAAAAACTGCAATAAAGGTATATCATTATTTATATATTAGACACCCAATTACCAATTTATTAAATGTCCCCTTCAGTAGAACCAATCTTGGTAAGTTTTCACCGTTAAATAGATGTATGCGAACAGCTTAAACAATCATGAAATCGACATCTTTAGCGACCCCCGAATGTGTATTCAAAAGAAAATGAAAAGACTTACTATTACATACCTTGCCCGATTAATAATTCTAAACTATTATTTAATGCAATTTTTTTACTGGATGTGGTGCTTTTGCTCAATTAGTTTGATTTCTGTTTGTTTAGAGTTTATATGTACATATGTTGTGTGTTAGAAAAGTGTATAGTGCCACCAAGTTATCTGTGAACTGACAGCTTGGCGCTTCTGCGCTGAAATGTTGCCAGTTCGGGAATATTCCCATCTAAGGGTCTTATATTCATACATAGAGTCCACATACTATAGAATAAAAAGACTAGAACACAGATTTAACAGATATATGTCCAAGAACAAGAAGAAACAAAAATATCATAATTGAACAATTTAAACTTTAATTAAATGATATGCCTTTATGGCTTTTTACCGGGCGTTGTAATTTGCGTTCCTGTGGTTTATGCGGTTTCCGGTTCTATAACTATTTTGTAAATGAATCCTTGACTAACATCTAAAAAAGAAATGAATTGCATTAACCAATCCATTTATCGGAAATACGAAAGGAAGGAACAAAACATAGTAAGACATTATCGGTGCTTACCCTCGAGCTTCTTGCTCACAAAAGTTTAATACTTACAAAATAATGTTTCGGGCATCACTTTTAATGGTTTTCGGCATTTTTTATTGTTCTATAAACTCCCAAAACAATGACGTATCGAGTGACATTTGATTAAATGGCGGCTGTAGTTCACAATTTTGCCGCAGCTGTCAGTTCACAGATAAGTTGGTGGGACTATACAGATTAATATTCCTTTCCCCTGTCATCTGTCTATCAATAAATCTGTCAATCTGTCAAATATTTCACCTCATTCCCATAGACTTAGAATATAAAATTCTAAGTCAATGGTCATTCCTAAGTGGTGGAGCATGGTGGCAGAAAATGGCGTGGGTGCCTAAGTAATTTTTTTTGTTACAGTGGCAAAATCGAATTCGCTTTGCTAGGAGCTACTAATAAGACTGACATAAGATCGGGAATCTTCCGTTACATCGTGCGAACGATACAGCACAAGTTGTACGTTTCAGGTTCGCACCCCAATGACATTGCCTTGGTGGAGCTCGATTATGAGTAAGTTAAGAAGAGTTTTATTTTAAGTGAAATCTTTTTAAAATAGTTGTGTTTTGAAACTCTATGAAACGAAAAAGCGACATTAAAAAGAGACAAGCATATAAATCTATAGGATTCAGCCTGCGAAAGAATGAGACAGAATACAGTATACAGCGTTTGTTATAAATTTATTTTAATTTTAATTACTTATACCCCACATTTATTCGACTCCAGATACGTTGCATTCGTCTCATTCTCTCAAAGTTTAGTTTTCTGAAGGTTGCACTTCTACCGCGTGTGACCTGCACACGTTTTTTATAAATTTATTTATACTTTAAGTACATAAGCCCTACAATTATTCTACTCCAGATGCTCTGCATTCTTCTCATTGTTTGGAAGTTTAGTTTTCTGAAGGTTGCGTTTCTACCGCGTGTGACCTGTACACGTTTTTTTTAAGTGTGACAAAAGAGCACACAGTCCACTTGACGGTAAGTGGATAGTGTGACCCATTAACATCTACATTGATTCTCGATTGAGAATCAAATGCAGATGCGTTGTCATCCTTGATCTACAAGATGGAATGGCTGGCTTCCAGTAAAAAATCTCCGGTTCTCTACACTCACGATATGAAACACAGCAGCATTAAGTTCTTATTTGACGCTGGTATTCTGTGAGAGCGTGGTCCTTTCCATTTGTGCTACAACCATAATATACTTGTAGCTGCATTGTGGCATTACCACGTAGAAAGTTTTATTTCTAAAGTTAATTTTTAGTGAGTTCTTTCTCTGAAGGTTATTTTTAACAAGTTCTTTCTGAAATTTTCAGTCTGAATTTGTGTAATTATTTCAGAGTCATTTTCTCGAAGTTCACCAGGCCTGCTTGCCTTCCGGTTACGGGAGTCGCCCCTGATGAGTTACCGAATTCGATGATTATAGCCGGCTGGGGAAGAATTGGCCAGAATGCGAACACTTCGATGACACTGAAGCAGGTATATATCTATTTATTATAGATACGTTTATCAGATAAGAATGCGGTTTGTATCTATTTGGCATGATCTTGACAATCCTCTCGCCTTAGGATAATAGCTTAGGATACTCTTAAATTGGCCCATCTTCAATTTGGTCGATATATGTCTAGAGCGTCACTTATCACCTCTGTCATTCACTTCTGAACAAACATAAAAAACAATGTCCATTTTGGACTAGGAAAAAACATAAATTCTTACCGACATGAGACTATCACCAACGTGTAAATCATTCTGAATTTAATTAATGGATATCATTACTTTATTTTTTAAAGCTGCGGAAATATAAATTGTCGTCTTTAAAATATACAACAAAGAGTATATAATTTAAAAAAGCACGATAAAACTTTTTCTAAAATCTAAATAGATATGGTTTCTGAATCGAAATTAAACTCTAGATAATGGCAACCGTATAAACTTATGTTAATTATTGAACTAAGAAAAACCTCTCATTTTAAAATGCTTCAGGTTTTTAATAATATAAGCTCAAAAAACATATTCCATATTCACTAGACTCTGCGTATTTTTAAAAATATACTGAATGCCCTACCTTGTTATATTTAAGTAGCCAAATGAAACGACATAATATATTTCATCAAGTTACGTTATATTAGATTTTACTAATTCAAGCATGTTAGGAGAATGGCCATGGTTCTTTGCACAACCGAAGCATTCCTTTCTTACAAGTCCCGGCACGTAAGTCTAGCGCTGAACGAAACGCGTCCCCACACGCACGAATTGAATTGCACGAATGCGACTGGAGAGCCAATCAGCGCGTGCGAATGACTCGCACGAGCCAGTCAGCACGACTTATGCGCAATATCCGTCACCGCTAGACTTTCGTGCCGCTACTTATAATCGTGGTAATAACATCTTTCAAACCACAATTTTCTTTTATCACACAATTTCTTACTGTCATTCAGAGTCAACTGAAACACTTTCTAATGACCGCATTTTTACTTTATTTAAAAAGTTTAATTATTTATATAAACAGTGAATAAAAACACAGCTTACCTGATAGAAAGTGCATGACATGGCCAGTAGATACCAATATCTATCTATGTTACCATCCCACAGGACTGCCTTGTTGTCTGTATGAAGCGTCACCGGTTCCTGTACTCGCCATACGAAATAGCAGCTTTAAACTGTTATTTCACTCTGGTATGTTGTGACAGCGAGGTCTTTAACCGGTTGAGCGGACCCATCCATGCTGCAGTCATAATCATCATTACAGCCCTGCACAAGTCCACTGCTGACCACAGGCCTCCCCCAAGGAATTCCACAAAGCACGGACCTGAACCACCTGCTTCCATTGACTTCCTGCATGTCTTACCAGGTCGTCACGCCATTTAGTGGCGGAACGCCCTACACTTCGCCTGCCGGTACAAGGCTGCCACTCGGGATCTTTTCTTCCCCATGGGTTGTCGGTTCTTCGAGCTATATGGCCGGCCCATTGCCACTTCAGCCTACTGACACGTTGGGCTATGTTTACTCTGTTCGTACTGTGGATATAATCATTTTCAGTCGTAATACATCCAGCAAAATCCTTATGCATACCATCCTTTTCCAGGGTGCAATGAATGTTCTAGAAGCTAGCGAGTGCAGGAAGTATTTTAAGCCGAACAGTTTCACGTGGGACCCAAAAACGATGCTCTGTGGCAGTTCCCCTACAGCCGACACATGTAGCGTAAGTATCCGCTCCCAGACTCACGTAAAACAAAATCATCATCATCATCATCATCATCTTCATCGTTACAGCCCTTCACAATTCCACTGCAGGACATACTTTAGTAGAAACAAGGCATTATATCTCAGTCTTCAGGGGTGACAACGCATCTGCATCTTGATTCTTTATTGAGGACTAGCTGTAGCCCGCGACTTCGCCCGCGATTAATTTAGGGTTTTAATTTTTTTTTGCGAGGAATCCTAATTATTTTTCTAAAATAAAAGTAGCCTAAGTTACTCCATATGACATCAGCTATTTGTCAATGAAAGTCCCGTCATAATCGGTGCAGCCGTTTCGGAGATTAGCCGGAACAAACAAACAAACAAAAAAATTTAAAAAGTGTATTTTTGTTATAAGTACCGTTTTGTACTTTCATATGCATTTAGTAAAACGCTGTAATATTGACATTACAAACAGACACTTCAATTTTATTTATTTGTATAGATAGATGTATATACCAATAGGCTACAGCATCAAGTGGACGCTATATATAGAACAGCTTTGAAATAACACCGGAGCGTTGGCCGCTCCCCAGGCCGATCACCTTGCCCGGCGGGAGATCTCCCCTCTTCCATTTAACGGCCAAATACTTGATGTGTTGTCTGTCTCTGATGTCTCCGGTTCTCTACACTCACCATACGAAAAAGTGTGGTCCTTCCCTGGTCGAGGCGATCCATTCGTGCTACAACCATGATATAGCAGCGTGGCTCTATCATGTAAAAAAAAAAAATAACTAAGTTAAAATGACTTTTCGTCATTGGAACCCCTATTTCACCTGTAGTATTTCTCCAGTGTCTCCAGGCTCCAGTAGCTTCTGAACATCAGGGACAACTTTATTACGTGCTGGAGGCACGCTGCCGCTATATTATATAGTTGTAGCACGAATGGATCGACTCGACCGGGGAAAGACCATAAATCTATTTAAAAAATAGGGAGACTAAAAATAAGACATTTTTTTCAGGGCGACAGTGGCGGTCCGTTAATGGTTCCTTTGACCATGACGTCTAAACATTGTGGACATTTTCTCGCTGGTATAGTCTCCTGGGGTCCGGTATGCGGGCTAAACAAAGTCGGTAGCTACACGAGAGTCTCCAACCCTGAGTATCTCAAGTGGATAATCAGTACAGTGTGGCCTGAACCTAAAAGAGCGCAACCTTAATGACTCCACGACTTTATCTTCCACCAGGGCGGCGTCGCTTAGAAATGAGGTGAAATCATTGCATAGCGGAGGAAGTTTTTTCGCGATAAATGTAAGGGTTAATGTCAAAATATAATCATAGATAAATAAATACATACATACATATAATCACGCCTCTTTCCCGTAGGGGTAGACAGAGACCACTTCTTTCCACTTGCTACGATCCTTACATACATGTTTCGCTTCGTCCACTTTCATTATTCCCTTCATACATGCTCTACGGTTTAGGGTACTCTTGACCTGGCCTTTTTTCAAGACGTCTCTGATTTGTTCTAGAAACGTCCGCCTAGGTCTACCCCTTCCAACACTTTCATTCACACTCGCCTTATACACCTTTTTCGTCAATCGTTCTTCATTCATTCTCTCGACATGGCCAAATCATCTCAGCATACCTTTCTCAATTTTTGTCACTACATCTTCTTTCAGACCAAAAATATAAAAAAAAATAAAAAAAATATGTAGCAAGAATATAATAATAAAATTATAAAAATACCAAAACCACGGTATTTTTTGTTCCTACTAACTCATAATTGTTGTCTAAGCCTTTCAGGTACTACTTTTAATTTGTACGTAATCTTACACACTTACACGCCCCTTCAGTAACTTTACTAAATTAAACCCAAGATGCAAATCGTAGGGCTGAAAGGACACATCATTTAAATATACATATTGGCACTGATTAACAGCCCCTGGTCTGGCGATCGGCTGGAATCAAGCCGATGAATTATCATGCGCGTCTGCTAAGCGACCAGATACTGGCCGATCCATGGCTGAGTATTTGGCCGGTAAAATTAACGGCGACAATGATTCCTATCCCTTTTTTACTTATTGTGCTCATTTTCTTCTGGTCATCTCGAGGGTAATAGCTGAAAATCCGTGTTTGCTCTCTGATCAATATTAATCGCTGAGCTAAGTAAGACCCATTTGTCACACTGCAACACACATGTACATTTAGATTTTAAGTTTTTGTAAATTATTTTTTTCGTAATATGTTACTTTGTACTTAGTTTAGTTACTGAATTTACGTGTGTGATTGGAGAAACAAATAAATGCTTTATCTATCTGTAGGGGACTGAAGTGGACCGTATGTGGTTTTATTTTATTTACTGTGCTCATGTTTTTTTTTTCTAAAATAAAAGTAGCCTAAGTTACTCCTTATGACATCAGCTATCTGCCAGCGAGAGGCCCGTCAAAATCGGTCCAGCCGTTTCGGAGATTAGCCGGAACAAACAGACAGACAGACAGACAGACAAAAAATTTAAAAAGTGTATTTTTGTTTTAAGTACCGTTTATACTTTCATATGCATTTAGTAAAACGCTGTAATTTTGACATTACAAACAGACACTTAAATTTTATTTATTTGTATAGATAGATGTAGATGTATACCTATATGGGTGAAATACTACTAGGGACGTTTATTTAAAAGGAAAGGTGGTACACTTTAAAATACCATATTTCACTATTTACAAGCGGCAGGTGACTATATACTATATGCACAAGAGGGGATCTTCTAGGAAGTCTTGACTATCTGGTTTTCTTGCTTCTACTTTCTTGAGTGCCGCTGTCGAATTGAATGAATCGGAGCCTTTTTTTTTTGCGCCCGAAGCAATTGGAAAAGGGCTACCCCGAAGGGAGGCAGAAAATGCATTACGCATACCACGATGGCCGGTCCATCGTGGTTATGGGGGACTCACTACCTACAAGGGGAACCTAAGTGATACCCCCTAAAAACTGCCTTTGGGGACTGGCAACTAGCTGTTGAAAGCTTCATATGCCGTATCTAAAGCGACCCTCTTTTGGGAAAAGAGGGCGCAGATGGCTAAGTGCCGTTTAGGGACTGCCTACGAAGGCATATTGATTTTAAATAATTTTTAATTTAATTAGTATTGGCCTGAGCCGCCAGAAGGCAGTTCAGGTCGCTTGAAAGTTTATTTGGCTGGTCCGAGAGAGTGTTTCTCGGCCTGCGGACGGTATAGCGGGAGGGGAGTGGGGCGGTATAAGTTACTGCCTCACGAATTAATGTGTTATTGTGCGACTCTGAAACTTTAAAAAAGTTTTCAGAGAGAGTTTTAGTAAATTGCTGAATTGTTGGGATTTCTAAATCCCGGTGAAGATCGGCATTACGGACGTACCAAGGTGCTTTCGTAGCTCGACGACAGAATAAGTTTTGAACTACTTGTAGTTCGTTAATAATTTTATTATCGGCGTGTGCGAATACAGGTGCCGCGTAAGTCATTACGGGACGTATACAAACCTTATAAAGGGTTCGCTTATTTCTTAATGACATTTTACTATGTCGGCCTAACATACTGTTAAGCCTACCTAGGTATAAACGAGCTAGACGTGTTACTCTTTTGACATGAGACTCAAAAGTAAGCCTGTAGTCAAGGGTGACGCCTAAATATTTTGCTGACATATGCCATGGGACAGGGGTCCCTAGCATTTGTATAGGTGGAGTATTTTTCTTGTTTTTATTATGGCGTCTTTTAATATCGAATTGAACTGCGGAGCTCTTCTCCGGGTTCACATCGATACGCCATTTTTGGAACCAATCTCCTAGGTCATCGACTGACTTTTGGATCTTGTTCCTTGCTGAAGATATTCTAGGACTTTTGAAGTATAGAGCAGTGTCATCTGCGAAGAGTGAGAGCTGTACACCATTCGACGGGATTGGAATGTCGTTGGTGTACAAGATGTACAGGAGGGGAGCTAGTACTGATCCCTGAGGAACACCAGCTTTAATGGGGCGCTGAGAGGATAACGTGCCTTCGTGTTTAAATCGAAAGTTACGATGTTGTAGGTAAGAGGCTATGAGACGTACTAGACGATCGGAGAGTCCTATCCTATATAATTTGAAAATAAGGCCTTCGTGCCAGACGCGGTCGAAGGCTTTGGCAATGTCGAAAAAGACCGCGATTGTCTTTAGTCGACGTGGATAAAAACTGCTGAGGACATATTCCACAATGCGGTGTACTTGTTGTGGAAATCGGAGCCCAAAAGACTTTTCTTATATTCCCGTGGTTGGTGTCTCGGCACGAGCGTGTTCTTACGAGGTGTGCCGCGCGCTGATTAGTCAGCGACATCGCGTGATCTGCTGGCGGTGTGTGGGGTGCACGGGGCGTAACAGGGTATGAGGGGGGCGATGGGGTGGCGGCTCCCGAGCCGTTCGTAACACTATCTATCTATCAAAATTACTATAGGTGCAAACAATTAAAGATCAAACCATTGTGGCATTGTTTTGCGTATTTACACAGTTTTACACACCTTTATTTAAAACGCAATTTTTGAATTAAAATAACCTTGTGTAACAAACATCTTCACCTCACTCCCATCTAGCGACATCTGGTGAGCTTAAAATTATTATGCCTCATTATTTATATGTTATGGACCAAGATATTAATGAGAGCACTATTTATAAATTATATAATGACCGGGCAATATTAATAGTGACAAGTCAAATCGGGCTACGTAATTAATAATTTATATATATATATATAATTTTCATTACACATCACATTGTCTGGTCATTATGAATATTGCTACATAAATGTTAGGCAATTTGATACAACCTAACCTAACCATGTTAATCACTTAAGACGATAAGTTAATAATGTACCAAATCTGATTTTGACAAATGTAAAAATGTGAAAGAAGGGAAAAACACTTTGAAAGAAATAAGAAAGTAAGAAAGAAAGAAAGAAGCATTTATTATAACATTTACAGATACCAACAGTATCAAATAGCAGCAATGGGCTACTTTTACTTTGGGTTACAAAGCAAAAATACCTTTGATGAAAAACTTTATTCCCATTGTGTGCAAGTGTTAAATATGTGACTTTAGAAAAAAACCTAACCTAACCTATTTTTTTATAACTCCAACTAGTAAGGAACTTTTTCCCGAACCCGGCCAATTTAATAATTTCAATATTTTTTTTATCACATTGCCTATTCATATTGTGCATTATTTATATTATCTGGGCATTATGAATAATGCCCGATTAATCAGTTGATACATAACATATATACCTAAGAAGATATTCAGTATTTGTTTTTTTTAAAGCATTGTTATCTAGTCTGGCAATAACAGTGGTAAAGCCACGCGGCAGCTTTTGCTGTCGCACGGATGGGTCGGCTGGCTGAGCATCCACAACCAAACCACTCCACTAGTGGGCGTGGGTGCTCAGGCTGCCCCGCGTATTCTGGGGGGGGGGGGGGGGGCAAAATTCCGCTCGGGGCAAGCTGAGCAATAAGACCAAGGCGACCCCTTTCACGCTATCCGCGAATTTTTGCAATATCAGGGGACTTCATTCCAACCTTAACGCTGTCCATTACCATCTAGAGACGGCGAAGCCGGCCTTGCTCTTTTTAACCGAGACTCAGGTGTCCTCTCCGGCTGATACTTCATATCTCTCTTACCCGGGGTACAAATTTGAACACTCCTTTGTGCCCCGGGCTGGAGTTTGCGTATACGTCAGAGAGGACATCTGTTTTCGACGCCTCGGTAGTCTTGAAGGTACGGACCTGTCCATCCTATGGCTGCGCGTAGACAGCGACGTTCATCCCCGCGTCTACGGGTGCCTCTATAGGTCCCATAGCGGTAATGCCGACACAGACCGACTCATCGACCACGTCCAAATGGCTGCAGACTCCGTGCTACAACAGGTCCATCCGTAGAGATCGTGATACTCGGTGATTTTAACGCCCACCACGCTGAATGGTTTGGTTCTCGTTTAACCGATCATGCGGGTAGATTTGTCTACGACTTTGCCTTGGCATATGGTCTAACACAACTGGTTACTTCGCCTACGCGGATCCCAGATGTGGAGGATCATGTACCTTCCCTGTTGGACCTTCTGCTGACCTCTCATCCGGACGGATATCAGGTCTCCGTCGATGCCCCTCTGGGCTCTTCGGCTTTACTTTACAAGGCGCAGGTTCGGCCTCACATGGAATACTGTTC